AATTTTCATATATATTTTAGGGCATTTGCATCTTGCATTTAGATTTAGAATTTTGCATTTTAGTTTAGGTCCAATTTATTACTTTTTTTTATCACCTAAATTTTCACCTAAAGAAACCCACAACTTGCTCCTTGGAAGTAATGACCTAGGCCGATCCTAAACTACAAATTAATTAGGACCTAGTTTAATTGAGTGCTTTAACGACAAAGGCATCATCAAATACCAACTTAGTTTTGATTCCGAAAATGGAGTCACCTGAAAGTATGAAGGATCTTCAGCTGATTTCCTCATGTAATGTAAGCTACATGATTGTCACTAAAATAATCAGTAAGAGAATCCGAGGCATTATTGGCAAAGTGGTGGGCAAACATTAATGTAGCTTTATCGCAGGAAGACAAAGTAGTGACAACATCATTATCACCCAAGGGGTAATCCATTCTATGAAAAGTAAAAAAAGAGATATATGGTGGATGGCAATTAAAGTTGATTTAGAGAAAGTTTATGATAGGCTAGAATGGAGCTTTATTAATGATACTTTGAGTTGCATGGGGGTTGAGAATAAGTTGAGAGAAGTCATCATGGCTTGTATTGCCACTCCATCCTTTCAAGTGCTGTGGAACAGTAAAGCAACAGAGGCTTTCAAGTCAACTAAAGGTATTTGTCGAGGTGACCTGATCTCTCCATACATTTTTACTTTCTGTATGGAAAGGTTGAATCATATAATCCAAGACGCTATTGATGATGGTTGGTGGACACCAATTGAATTGAGTACAGATGGCCCCCCCATTTCACATCTCTTTTTTGCAAATGATTTGATCCTCTTTGGTGAAGCTTCTACATGGCAGGTGGATGTCATGATGCAATGTATTAATAGGTTTTGTGAAGCATCGGGACAAAGGATGAACAAAGCAAAAACCAAAGTGTGCTTTTCCAAGAATGTTCATGGACCCAGAGTTGTAGAGATGAGTCACAGGATGGGAGTGGGACTCACAGGAAACCTGGAAAAATATTTGGGCATACCTCTAATCCATAAAAGGGCCTTGTATATGCCTTTTGTCCCTCTCTTGGAAAAATCAAGGCAAAAATTATTAGGATGGAAAAGAAACTTTCTCAACCTTGCAGGTAGAACTACTCTTATTAAAGTAGTTCTCTCAGCATTACCAGCTTATCACATGCAAACAATGCTTTTGCCCAAATACCTCTTGAATGAGCTTGAAAGTACTAGTAGAAAGTTCTTATGGGGTGAAACAGAAGAACAAAGGAGACTGTATCTAGTTTCTTGGGATTTAGTTATGGAAGACAAGAAGATTGGAGGATTAGGAGTCAAAAATTTGAGGAAGCAAAATGAAGCCTATATGATGAAGTTGTGTTGGAAACTCATATGAGACTGATGCCTTGTGGGTGAGAATTATTAGAAGTAAATATAAATGCGATGAGATGAGTTTTCCAAAGGTGAAGAAAAAACCAAATTCCTCCTTGACTTGGAGGGGGATATGTGAAATGTGGTGAAAGTTTAAACTTGGAGTAAGAAAAAATATTGGGAATGGTAATTCTTCCTACTTTTGATATGAGAACTGGGTCAAAGATGAATGTTCTATTGATTAATCTTGTGCCGAGTTATGAAGACTTTATTGATAAACATGAGAAGGTAGCATATTATGTCAAGAGGATAGACACCTTTGGTAGCCTTCCCTAGATGGTTGTTTTTCTATAAAATCTACTTACCATTTTTTGACTGCAGGTTCACAAAGGCTGGTGGTGTTTTGGAGTAGCCTATGGAGATGGCAAGTCCCAGAGAAGATCAAGACCTTCATATGGTTGTTCTCCCACGGGCAAGTACATACTTCCGAGCTTATAGTGAGACAGGGTATGATAGATTTCAATTGTTGTTCATTCAAATATGCACAGGTGGAAGACTCAATGCATATGATTAGGGACTATGAAAATACAAAAAATCGATGGAAATCTGTTATCTGTCCCAAGATGTGGCCAACCTTTACTATGCTTCAAGGAATGGAGTGGGTGAAATGGAATTTGAAGAATGATATAGGAAAACAATACACCAAGAAAGTTCAATAAGCAAGACTCTTTGGATATATTTCCTGGGATATCTGGGTAGATTGGTGCAACAAGCTTTTCAACTCAACCACTGCAGGAAGAAGGATCAATGTCAACAACAACCTCTTTAGAGCCGGTTGGGATCAAGATTTGATAGGACCATGTAAATTTTATGCCTGGAAATCTAGGATGGTGGAACAACCTAGATAAGTACAAGAGGACCATATACTTCTAGAAGTTGATAGATCAATGCTCAAAGATGGTAGAAGTGGGTGTGGTGGTGTAATCAGAGATGCTATAAACAGGTGGATCTGCGGCTTTAGCTACAAGCTGATAGCTGTTCCTCTAATGATTGCTGAACTACTAGGTATCTTAAATGGTCTCAACCTTTGTTGGGCTAAGGGATACAGGAATATCGATCTTTACAATGACTGTGTTGAAGCAGTTAGTATTATTTTAAGGGCTTGTGATGATAATCACCCATTTAGAGACATTATTGATAACATTAGACTTTCATTATAGCGAGATTGGCGGGTTAATTTGTATCATGTGAGCAGGGAGGAGAAGGAGATGGCCAATAGGATAGCAAGATTGGCCCATAGACTAGAAAATACTTAGTGTATTCTTGATCAACCACCTCCTCTTAACCAAGAGTTGGAGTTTGACGAAGAAAGATAAGCTTTGTTCTCTTGTTTCTTGCTTGTAAGTGTTGACATCCAATACTATTAAAAAAACTATTTTTTAAATTATTTTGGAGGGGAACTTCTAATTTTTGGATGCACTTATTTTAACTATAAAATTTATTGCGATCCAAACTAATATAAATTGAGTCAGATGAGATCATAAAAGGAGACAAAACTCCACTATCAATTATCTTAATTAAAAATTAAAAAAATTAAAACACTTGGTATAGATTTGTCACTTTTTGTGGTTCTATATGACTCGATCTATATCAAATTGGATTGAGATAAATTTATCAGCTAAAGTTAGATAAATCTAAAAAATTAGACTCAACCTATAAATATTTGGTGGTTGAGTTTTTTTTTTTTTAATAAGTGGTGGTCGAGTTTTTTGTTGTTGTTGTCTTTCATGGTTATTTGAATAATTGAATTAGTATGGGCTGTCAAATTCTCTGGTTGAAATAAGGTAGGTACAAAAAAAATTAGATATTCCCTTGTAAAAAAATCTTTAAAAAATCAAAGTTGGTAAAAATATTTACACTATGGTTAAAACTTATTTTTAATTTTTAATAGTATAATAATGTGATACATCATAAACTCTCAGATTAATCTCAACAACCAAAATTTGGACGCTGAGGGGCGCACAGAGAGAGGGTCTGCTGAGAGGGGCACAGCTTGTCTCATCTGCCCATTCTCTAAGATCCAGATCCTCTCAGTAGCGTTTTTCTCAGCATCTCTCAGTATCTTAACATCCTGTCTATTCAAATCATCCAAAGGCTCACAGTGCACCACATCAAATGGCTAATGGCTTGGACCAGGAAGGGAGAATGGGCCTAATGATGTGGTGCACTGTGAGCCTTTGGATGATCTAATGGACAAGATGTTAAGATACTGAGAGATGCTAAGAAAACGCTACTGAGAGGATCTAGATCCCATTCTCTCCGCCGCCCCATCTCTCCTATTGTATGTTAAACTGTTATGCCTGCCTTTGAGAGAACAGAATTTAAAAAAAAAAAAATGAAAAGGGCCATTCTAATTTGCTAATTTTTTTCCTCAGTTATAAGTATTAGTTCAAAATAATTAGGCCTAACGTGAATACCGACTATAAGATACTACTCTCGATTTTAAATATAAGATCTATTTTGTAGTCTAAATTGCGCTATAAACTATATCTTATATTTAAAATAGAAAGTAGTATATAATTATGTTTAATGTAAATAACGATTACAAGGTATGTAAATTGCCACAAAATAAAAAAAAATATTTTTTTACTATTATATATTGCCTTATAATTAAATGGGAAAATGATAAAAAAATTATGAAAATTACAAAATCTCAAATCAGAGATTCTTACAAATATTTTGTATTTTGTGACAATTTATATACCTTATAGTCATTATTTATATTAGACATAATTATATACTACTTTCTGCTCTGAATATAGTATCTATTTTGTATTATAAACTAAATCTTATACTACCTCCGGTCCTAATTATAAGAGTTAGTTGACTAATTTGAGAAAATTAAACAAATAAATTAAATTAATTATTTGTAATAAATATGTATTGTCGTTCCTAAAATATCTTTACTAATCAAGTTTATTTGCTAGAACTACCATTATTAGAAGGATTATCTTGGGAAAAAATGTATAAATATGAGAGACAAAGTGGATTGGAGTCTTATAATTAGAACCAAAATAAAAATCAAACGAGATGCTGTATTAAGCGCCGAAGGTAGTATTTAGGGATAAATGATAGTAACTTACAATCAGTCTTCATATTAGGCATTATTATTTTGAGCTAATACATATAATTGATAAAAAATAAAAATTGGCAGTTCTCATCCCTTGAAGTACAGGTGTAACATTTTAATAAGAGGGATGGGGTAGGGGCGGTGGAGAGAATGGGCAGAGGAGGGAAGCCGCGCCCAATGAATGAAGCCTGTGAGTTCAATGGGCCGCTCATATTTGATGGGGAAAAAAATGAAATTAATTTAAAAAAACTGCACACATGGAGCTGAAGAATCAAGAATCAGCGCAATAGGGATTACCGTGATGCCAGGCGCCAACATCACGCAATATGCTTCCCATTTATTGTAGTGATCATAATAATAAAAGTATAGATAGAACAGTTTGGCATGCCTGGCGATTGTCCATACTCCATACATAGCAGCCAGTCTAAACTTTACACGTGGATGCGACGTCGATTCAGCGGCTCTTACTGGGCTATGCTTTGGATAAATATGGAATCAATCTGGCGGCACGCGAAGCGTATTGTGGCAGCGTTCCAACTTCCAATTCAGCCAGCGCAGGAATTAAAACGCTCGAGCAAGCGATCGTCTGCAACGGTGAGCGAAATCTGAGTTTCTATGGCGACCTCGTCGGAGAAGCAAGTGATGATGGTGGCTGTGGACGAGAGTGAGCACAGTGCCTATGCTCTCGAATGGACTCTCGATCACTTCTTCACTCCCACCCCTAATCCTCTCTTCAAGCTCATTCTTGTTCATGCTAGACCTTCTGCGATCTCCACTATCGGCTTCGCCGGCCCTGGTACGGTACTCCATTTTCTCATCGATTCTTGATTATTATGATTTTCTCATCGATTCTACTTTCCTCTGTTTTTCAATTCATCGAAAACTGTATGTAAAATGCATTGTTCGCAGGAGCTAATAACGTTTTGCCCATTGTTGATGCGGATTTGAAAAGAACGGCTGCAACAGTTGTTGAAAAGGCCAAAGAGCTTTGCATCAAGAAATCGGTAATTAGTAATCACTTCGAATACCGGATGTGTTTATTTAACCACCTATTACTACCATCATTCAGTTTCGTTTCCTTCTTGTGCGATTTGATTTGTTCTTTCAGTAACTTCAATCTTTCCCTGAACTGAAGTGACTCTAGCAAGATTTTCGCTCAGATTTATCATACTAGGAAGAAATGAAAAAAAAAAATCTCCGGATTAACTGGTTCCAGTTTCATAGCTTGATTGTTCTAACTCTATGATGGGTTCTACCGTTCTACGTTTAAATTACTAACTACGGTAACATTGTGGAATTTTTTTATTGGATGCTTATTTTAGTGAAGTTGAAAAGACATGGAAGACTGAAAAAAGAACCCAGTTCTTTGATTTTCTTTTGGAACTGCCAATGTCTGTTGATGCATAAATCGTTTGGGTTCTCATTTTCCTCTTTCTTCTTTTTTCCCCCCAAATCTGATGTTCGCACAGACACAGTTCAAAACTGAAGGACAAAGAAATAGTTTTAATTTATAAAATATTATACTGATAATTTTATAATATGTTAAATCTGAACTATCCATATTTTTTCTTCTATCTGTAAATTTATAGCCTGCGTCACTGCTTTGAAAAGGAAAAAAAAATAAAAACAGTGCGCACTATTACTAAAGAAGAGGTTTTAACTTGACAGTTTTTGTTTGAGAAAATTAGATCATACTAGTAGTATTTTGATATTAATTTTCTTAATATGATTTTGTTTTCTCTGTTTTTTCCTCTTACCGTGGAAAAGACTAGTTATATAAAAATCTATCAGCGCTTGTTCTATTTTGGTTTCTTGTGTTGATATGTTGTTTTAGTTTACTATGATGTGTCTGTAGATGTATTTATCCCTAAATTTTTGGATCCTAGCGCCTGTTTGGATTTTTTTAAAAAAAACAATTTTTTAACAGCCGAAACCGTGATTTTATTAAAATAGTAGTATATCTAAACACTTTGTTAAAATCGAAATCAATTTTGTACATTGGATTGTTTTTATAGGTAACTATTACTTGCTTTCCAATTTTACTATTTAATTATATTAAAAAAATCAATCTTATTAATCAATTACATTCAAATTTAATTTTTCTAGCTCAAATCCAAGTCCACCCGATATTTCTTTTGCTCCAAAACAAAAGGTTCTAATGCTGTAGGCTTGAAATACTTTATATATTTATCCTAAGAAAAAATTAAGTGAATGTATCTGCAGGTAAATGATGTAGAAGTGGAAGTAATAGAAGGAGACGCCAGAAACGTGCTTTGCGATGCTGTGGACAAACACCATGCTTCTATATTGGTTGTGGGAAGTCATGGTTATGGAGCTATAAAAAGGCATGTAAATTTCCCTGCAACTAACCATTATCGCAGTTTTATCTTAGAATTTTGGGGAGATTATTATTTCTTTAAATCATTCGGCTGTTGTTTTCTCAACACTTAGCTTAAAATTGTTATGCAAACATCATTAATTAATATAGGAAATTTTTTTTGTTTTAAAAAGAAGAAAACTTCCATTTGACATGCTGATGTTGTGTTCCTGCAGGGCTGTGTTAGGGAGTGTGAGTGACTATTGTGCTCATCACGCTCACTGCACTGTGATGATTGTAAAGAAGCCAAAACCCAAGCACTGAACTGATATGCATGCTTTGGTTGCCTCTAATAAGTACTTCTCAGCTAGATATATATTGATCATAGGGTTCCCAGAACATTCAGAGTCATGGTTGTTCTGTATATTTACCATATCAACTATCAGTTTAAGGGTGAATGTATTGCTATGTTTATAGCAATATAACTATATATTTAGTGTGTGAATGTTGGGCTGGTTTGTTTCCTTGTTATTGTTTTACTTCATTAAGTGGAGGTTTGGAAATCAGGTAAATAAGCCAATTTTATGTTTTACAATAAAAAACATTTCTCGCTTACTTCGCACAACCTAAAATCACTTGAAATAACCAGTGTGTTGTATCATGCTCACAATGAAAAAGCATAGTTTGTTTATGGGCAGAAATTGTTTAAATATATTTATTTATTCTTTTGGACAGCGTAAATTTTGATGGGATATTGCTAAAAAGGGCTTAAAAGCAAAGATATTTTGTAAGAATGGATCAGAATTCCCTCTTTCGAATATGGGGAAAAAGTTGGGGGGGGGGGGACCCGAAGTTAAAGCTATAGAAAAAGGAAGACCAGTTGCAGATTTTTTGGTGTGCAGAATTTGCATACTTTGTCAAAATGTTAAAAATCTACAACTGATTTTCTTTTCTTGGCATTTTTCCTTCCATGTTTTTAGTGGTGTTTAAGGAAGAGCATTCTTAATTCTTTTTGCCAGATATTTTTTTGCGCTTACAATTTCCCCTAAATTTAATCTGAATAATTTGAAAAAAAAAAACCCACGATATCACAAAAATGTTTAACAAGTGCAATGATATTAGTTGAATACAGAGGACTACAAAATCTCTTCTTCTTCTTCTTCTTTTCTCTCCTTTAAAGCATAGGTATTCTACTATTGGAGACAATCATATTCAAAACATCATCGTATACTAAATGTGGACACCTCTCCTAATAGATACTCAAATCTTGATTCGTCATGTTACGAGAGATTAGTTTCTTTTGTTAGACCTAAATCGTGTTGACGGGGGATTACAAAATCTTCTTGTGCACTTTTGAGGGCTTATAAATGAAGCCTCTGAGTTCGATGGGCCGCTCATACTTGTCGGCCACTTCGCCTCTTGATAAATATTCTCCATCCATTTTATTTTGAAACGATTCGCATTATGTTGTCACCACTTTACCATTCTTAATCTTTAAGCCTTTCAAATGCCTTTGTGAAATTTCTATGCGACTTCCATTACGAAATATATCAAATTCACTGGATGCTGACACATAGGGGTGTGCAAAAACTCATTCGGTAAAACTAAACCATCTTATGAAATTGGACCAGATCAGATCATATTGGCTGGTTAGAATGAACTGAATTTCAGAGCATGTGATCATACCACTTGATCTACTCTAGGTGCATATTTTGTAATCTGGATGTTACTTTTTATTGTTGTTGGATGTTTTTAGAGATTCTCATAGGTTTATGATTAAGTTTTAGTGCTTCGGAATGATTTCAATACGATTTTAGGCATTTCATATTGTATTGATCATGTTGATCAGGTTGAAATCTTGCTTGTCGGGGAAAAAATGAAAAGCAAATTGAGATCCTGAACTCCTTAAACTAGTCTAGACAGTTCAATAAACCACATCCAATATAGCCTAATCTTAGATTTTTGTTGAATTAGATTAGACCACAAACTGCCAAATCCAACTTAGGTCAAGTAATTTAGGTACATTAAGCCTAGTTAACCAATTAGATACTGCCATCCGGATTATTTTTCTACATTAGCCCTTAACCTCTTAAACCGCAGTTAGCCACTAAAATTTCATTAAAAAAAATAAAAAAGAAAAATGAAGGCAGTAGCTGCGGCGAGTAAAGGTGGGAATCAGGACTGGCCTCTCAGGGCTGGCAGGCTTAAAAGGGCTGGCCCTCCAGAACCGAAATTTCAAAAATATCTCAATTTGCTAGGTCCGGCCTTTAAGCTACAGGCTCAGGGCCGGTCTGTGGGCTTTTGGTCGGTTTGAGAAAAAAGTTATTTTTTATATTTCTCATATTTTTTATCAAAAAAATAAAAATAAACCAATAAAATTATTAATAAAAGACATAAATATGAATAAAATTAAGTCACAAATACAAAATATTATCATATATAAATATTCATCAACATCTAAGAACATCTAAAATATTCATTAACAAGATAACAACATCCAAAAGTTTTATCTATAGTGCAATTGTGCAATAAATAAACACTATCATTAATCTTTTGAAACTTTATCGTAACTTAAATCAATTACTCTTCTTTATAATTATGCTTTTTTTTTGTAACAAAAATATCAAGTTTTTTTTCTTTATAGAAATTTTACTTTTAAATTTTGCAATCTAACTATTATTTACTTTAAAGTGAGAAACATATTGTTGAAACTCATAAATTTCTAATTCAAATTATAAAATCATAAGTTATATAAGTATAAAAATACTCTATTATCAAATATATATATATATAGTTTAAAAATATCAATGCATATAATATAAATCAAATCATTATTAAAGTCCAAATTAACTCATTTTTTAAAAATTTAATTGGATAAATTATTGTCTAAAACTAAATAAATCAAATCATTCTGTAAAATATAATTTTAAAATGATAATAATAACTAAATATTTGAAATATTATTAACTAAAAAATTAATAATATGAGAATTACATTAAAAAATTTAAAAAACAAAAAAATTATAAAAGCCTAAATGGGTCGGTTCTTTTAAGCTCTCGGCCCTCCAGAGCCTATTTCCCATTTGAAAGGAAAAATTTCAAGTCCAACCCTCATAATTTTAGAGTCTAAACAGACCGGCCCGACAGGCTTGACCAGTTTTTCTGACTCTAGCGGTGAGAGAGAGAAATCAGAACAATGAAGGGTGAGAGGAAATAATTAATAATTAAAAAAAGGAGCAAGTGAAGGCTAGGAAATGATCGAGTGTCCGGTTGAAAAATAAAACTGTAGAACTTAAAACTCAGGCCTTGAACAACTTCAATTTCCTCTTGTTTAAAAAATAAAATTGTCAGTGTGCTAGATAAAAGTTGTTCCTAATGAGAATGATTTCTTTGTATTCTTGAGCTTGTTGAGCCCGTGGAGGAATTTAAGTGTAGTGTCTTGGTAATTATTCTTCAAAGTGTAGCATCTTCATATTTTATTTTACTGTGTGTTTATAGGGTCTCCGTGAAAAAAGCATTATTAAACCAAATACTCCTCCGATTCTTAATATATAACCTAATTGTTGAATTGATTTTAGTTCTAAATATAAGACTTATTTCTCATATTTATCAATTTTTTCTAAATTCCTATTATATAGATACTCCCTCAACCATAATTAAATAGAAGAGGACGGAGGATATTAAGAACGGTGTTATAGAAAAGACATGTCATATTTCTTATAATTAATTAATTTATCTAATATAATCAGATTAGTAAAATATGTCTTATATTAAGAACTGGAGGTGTATATTGTCAATTCATGAATTCTTTTCCCCACCCTTCAACAACAAATCAACACAATGGTATAATAGTTAATTGCTTGTGTTTTGGTCTTCTCTTCTTTTTTTTTCCAATTCTTTTTTTAAAGAAAACTATGGGAAAACGCGACAAACATAGAGTATTCGATTCTCTCTGCTTTTCTTGCTAGCGATTTTCTTTTTTTTGGTTGCTAGCGAGTATTAGATTCTCTCTTCGTCTATAAACTGAAAGGGTTCAATAAAAGAACAAAATTGTGAATAAAGATCTTGAGTGGATTTAGCCAACCGATTTGTATATTCCTTGTATTTGGGTCCCCTTTTTGGGCTAAAAGTCCAAATCCCGAACCCAGTCAAAAGCACTACATTTCACTTCGGCCCAAAGTCCACAGTTCAGACGACGAGGTCGTCAAGTGTCCAAACATTGTACCCAAAAAAAAAGTGTCCAAACATTATTTAAAAAAAAAAGAAAGTCTCCCGGCATCAGCCGTGAGCGGTGAGCCCCGACTTCTCTTTGTAGCATTTTTGCTGTTATCGTCATCTCATTTCTTCTCCTACTTCCGAAATAGCATTCTTTCCATTAGTTTGAATTCAATTCTTGTCCACTAGTAGTGGGTTCCTCTCAAAGTTGGAAACAAAGTGCAGAGCTATGGCTTTGGTGGGTAAAGCAAGAGAAGCAGGGATTCCATTGATGAAGCTGATTAGATTAAAAGGGGTTCCTATTTTGGAACAATTGTACTTAGAGGAACGGCTGCTTCGGACTAGTTCAGATAATTGGTGTCTGATTAATGAAGGAACAAATTGCCCTGCCATTGTCATGGGTTTGTCTGGGTATGTTTTCATTCTTTTTATTGGTTCGGCGAATTGAAGTCTGATGTTATTCTTATATTTCCGTTTCAGTTATGCATTTTCCCAATTTTAGGTAGGTTTAAGGATCCAATATAAACTAATATCAAATTGTTGTAAGTTAACCACACCACTTGAAGGACTCATGTTACTGACTTTTTGTTTACACCTATCTTGGGTATAAACTGGAAGGAGTCTATATTATGATGGTTCACATTATAGTCCGGAACCAGAGGTTGGGTATTGTTGGTCTTCTTTCTTTCCTAATGATATATATATATATATATATATATATATATATATATATATCTGTGTGTGTTTGTGTGTGTTACTTGCGAATGGCTGCTTCGCCGTCTGCTGCTGATATGCCTAAGGAGAAGAAAATTTTATATCTTTTATTTCCTGCTTTTGGTAAGAATCAGCATGACGTGAATTTCTATCTGAAAGTGGATGTTCTAAATAGGAAACTTTCAGAACTTGTTGAAGTCAGGTCTGTGTTGCGGGATCAGATTCCTGTCATCAGGAGGTTTTCTGGGGGAGGCACTGTTATTGTTGACCAAGGAACTATATTTGTTACTCTCATATGTAATAAAGATTCTGTTCCAGATATTCAGCCCTTTCCTCGTTCCATCATGTCATGGAGTGGTCAGTTATACAGTGAAGTTTTTGAAGGGATTGGTGATTTCCATCTTCGTGAGAATGGTACATAGGTTTCGCCTTAATCATTGTGCTTTTAGTTTTTCAAGTCAATTTAGCTGTCGCGTTCTTCAAATCCTGGGCTTAGATCCAACAAACAAAAATATCATTTTGGGTTGATATTATACCATTAGGCTTTTAAACCATATCGGTATAAAAGACTTGAAATGTTATCCTTTTCGCAACTTGATTTTAATGATTTTCTGTCTGTTCTATGCTCATTGAACAAAGTGTATATGATAAATGTTACACTCTTCACTCTTCATCTTTTTCTCCTTTTCTATTGATTTGGACTTTTAAAGTAAGCACAAATGTCTAGCATTTGGAACGTTTCTGTATCACTTTCAAGGATCATGTAATGAAGTTTTGATGGAATCAAATTTTATGTTTTCAAGAGTCATATAATGGA